CACCTGGACGACCCCGCACCTGGACGACCCCGCACCTGGACGACCCCTCACCTGGACGACCCCTCACCTGGACGACCCTGCACCTGGACGACCCCTCACCTGGATGACCGACTGCAGCTCCTGGATCTTGGTCTGCAGCATCCCGTTCTCCCGCTCCAGCTCCAGCACCTGCTCCCTCTTGGGCCGGCTCTCGATGTCATTCTTCAGCTTCAGGGACTGGTTCCGCTCCAGCTTACACTCTTCCTCCATCTTGTTCAGCCGGTGCTTCAGCTGGTCGATCTGAAACATCCCAGGGCTCCCCAGGAGCAGGCAGCTGGGGAGAGGCGCCCAGAGAAGGCCAGGCTGCCCTAGGCCCCTGCACCCCCAGAGTGACGGGTGGGAAACCCCGTGCCTCCCAGTGGGTGGTGCAGACTCAGAGGCCCCTTCCGGTCACAGAAGCCACCTGCTCCTTGTGGATGGAGAGTCCTGATCAGTTCATCCAGGTGGGCCTGTTGTCGTCATCACTGAACTCTGGTGGCGCAGCCCCTAAGGCAGCTGACTGCTGACCAGAAGGCTGGTGGTTCAAACCCCCAGACACTCCTTGGAAGGAAGGTAGGGCAATCTACCTCCATAGAGAGACCGCCTCAGAAACCCAAGGAGGGGTCGCTATGAGTCAGACCCAACTCGACGGCGATGAGCTGGTGTGCCCGAGTCCATTCTGACTCACAGCAAGCCTATGGGGCAGAGAACAGCCCCGAAGGGTTTCCTACGTGGTCATCTTCATGGGGCATATCTCTAGGAGCCACTGGGTGGGTTCTAACCGTCAGCCTTTTGGTTACCAACCAAGTGCTTAATTGCTGCGCCACCAGGGCTGTAAAGAGAATGATCCCAAAGGGGTCATGACCCACTGCCATTGAGGTGATCCTGACTCATCTCGACCCTACAGGATAGGGGAGAACTGCCCCCTAGGGTTTCCAAGGCTGTAAATCTTTATGGAAGCTGACTGCTCCATCTTTCTCCTATAGAGCAGCTGGTGGGTTTGAACCACTGAACTTCTGGTTAGCAGCTGAATTCCTTGCCCACTGTGCCACTGTTGTTGTTGTTAGGTGCTGTTGAGTCGGCTTCGACTCATAGCGACCCTGTGTACAGCGGAACGAAACACTGCCCAGTCCTGTGCCAGCCTACCAACCTCCTTAAAGGGGTTATCGGTCCCCTACAAAACTCCCACCGGTGACTTCTGGGGGTGGAACAGGCTATAAGCAGCTGTCACTGAGTGGATTCCGACTCACAGCGACCCCATCTGTCAGAGTAGAACCAGGCCTTCTGGCTCTTGGGGGCTCATTTATTCACAAGGACCCCACCAGGCCTTTCCTCCAAGGTGCTCTGAGTGGACCTGAAACTGCAACCTTGTGTTTAGCAGCCCAGTGCTTAACCATTTGTGCCACCTGGAGCTGAAGCAGGTGATAGACCAGGCCAAGTTGGTCTCTCTCCAAGGTCTAAGTCATCATCTCCAAGCCCTTTTATGAGGAGCTCCAAACTCTGAGCCTGGGAACTCAAGGATATTCCTGAAAAACTCCAGGGTCACTGAAGGGCACGAACCCTGAGAAGTCAGGCCCTAGGCCCCCACCCTGACGGCATCCCCCTGCAGCTCTGCTTGTATCCACTGATTCATTTACTTGTTTGTATTCAGTCGTTCTGTTGCACACAGGGTTGCTACATGTTGGAGCCCACTCACAGCACCTAACAACAGCAGCAACAACAACATTCAAATGCATTCATTTATTCACCTGGGTCTCACACAAGATTCTGCTTGAACAAACAGCTCTGCTGCTAAAAATCAACTTGAAATCCAGCCGACTGCAAGCTGCCAGGGTCTCTAACAAGAATCTGTACACACACGAGGCCAGAAGAACTGGATGGTTCTGGCTACCATTACTGACTATTTTGATCAAAGATTCCATCTAAGAATTCTGATCAAAAGGGGGAAAATGCAGAACACAATGTTAAATTTTCATGGAATCTAGACTTTCTGGAGCCAAGGAGACTGGATGGACCTCTGAAACTACTGCCCTGAGATCACCTTTAAACCTTAAACCAAAAACATCCCCTGAAGTCTTCTTGAAACCAGACAACAGTTTAGCTTAACTTCTAAAGAAAGCTCTGTGCTTGTTTGGTTGTCTTGTGCTGCTGTAACAGAAAACACCATGGGGGGGGGTGGCTTTAACAAACAGGAGTTTATTCTCTTACAGTTTAGGAGACTTGAAGTCCAAGTTCAAAGTGCCAGCTCTAAGGTCTGGGTGAAGGCCCCGCAACCTTGAGCTTCAGCTCTGCCTCTTGCTCGTGGCCCAGTGGAGCTGGAGGCATCTCTTAATTCAGGCAGCTGCTGGCTGCTGAAGCGGACAAATCCAAGGTCGATAAGTAAAACGGCACAGTCCCAAGATTACCTAGATTACCACTCAGTAATGACTCGGCCAAATGCAGGATCCAGATGTACCAAGAAGCTCAAGACCTTTCTCAATGCATCTCCTTATATACTGGAAGCAGACCACCTTCCCAAGGCAGCTACTCAGCTGCTCACAACAGCTTCCACCACGGATCTGATCACCAGTCTCAGGATGGAGAATAACTACATCCAGCTACCCAGCCAAGGTGACACGCAACCTTAACTACCACGGCGCTCTTTTAAGATCTATCTGGGATCAAACTGACAATGGCAACTCGGAAGTGCAGCTACGAACTTAGGGGGCAGTGAGTCCATGTTATCTAGGGAGGGTGGGACACTCAAGAAAAGCAGGGTGAGAATGACTGCACCACCTGAAGAACGTCATTGACTTGCATGCGCAGAGACCACACAATCCGTGCTTTGCTAGGCACAGTCTGCAACAACAGAGAAAATTAGAATATTTGTGTGTGCTCAGCCCCAGAGTGGTTTCTAGAGGAGGTGTGGGACCTAGAAACGGGGCAACCGGAGATGGCTGAGTGTCCCCCTCAGGAGGTGAGCCTCAGGGACTGTGACCAGAAGGCTTCTTGGATGTCTGTGACAACCTCCCATTAGTTAAGCCCATCTGCTTTCCTGGAATGGCCTTAGGAAAACACTAGACGCAAGAACACTTTTCAAGGGCTGCAAGGAAGGGAGGCACCAAAGGGCTGGGTGTCCTTTCTCAAGTCGAGGCTGGTGGGGAGAGAGTCTTAGAGATCTGGCAGTAGATGGTGGTGGCCTCAGCAAAGAAAAACCACTGCTGTGCCCCTGTGGCCCACGGAAGGAAGAAAGGGGTGCACGAGCAGGGAAGAGACCCAGGGGTATGACTCAAATGGCCAGGTGTTCCTTCAAGTTCTACACATGCTTTCTCACTATCAACATGCTGTTTGGTGCTAATGAGTCAATTCCAACCCATAGTGCCCTGAGTGACAGAGTGGGACTGGCCCACAGGGTGTCCTAGGCTGAACTCTTCACAGGAGCAGACTGCCAGGTCTTCTCCCCCACGCAGCGGCCAGTGGGTTGAACCGTTGACCCTTTGGTTAACAACAGCAACAACAAAAAAACACCAGTTGGGTTGAGCTGACCTTGACTCATGAGACCCCGTGTTGCAGGGGTCATACTGTGCTCCGTGAGGTTCCCTGATTTCAGGAAGGGGATCATTAGGCCTTTCTGTGAATGGATTGGAACCACCAAGCTTCTGGTTAACAGTGAGCACGTTGACCATTCCAGGGATGCCCCAGGGAAACATACTATGGGAGACATGTATGTCTCAGCATGGATTAGCTGCTCTCAGTCCTGGATAAGGCCCCTGGGTGCTGCAGATGATTTGGGCTCAGCTACTAACTGAAGGTTGACAGTTCAAAGCCACCCAGCAACAGTGCAGAAGGCCACGCGCTCTGCTTCCCTGGACGACAGCTAAGAAAACCCACTGGGGCAGCTCTGCCCTGTAATGTGTGGGGTCACCGTGAGTCGCAATGGACTCGAGGGGAACGGGGTTAGCTGTGGATGGAATACCACGTAAACAGCGGAGCGATCTCTCCTCCTGGTCAAACAGAAAGGTGCTTGGAATCTTGGATGATCAGCTCCTGTGTCCTGTGCTGGGTCTGGTCCCTGAGCCCCAGGCGCCCTCCACAGAGCATGGAGGCCAGCACCGGGGGTGCTAAGCAGATGAGCCACTCTGCACAAGATTTAGGGTGCACTATCTCTTTCCATCTGGAGCTCTTGGGGTGCTGTGGTTAAGGCACTGGACTGCTAACCCAAAGGCTGGCAGTTTGAACCCACCAGCTGCCCCACGGGACAAAGATAAGACAAACTGCTTCCATAAAGATTGACAGCCTTGACAAGGGGCAAGGTTATGGTCATTGCTTGGTCACAGCCAGCTACCCAGAGGGACCGAGTAGTTGATCCTGCGGGCTTGGGACCATAGTCGCAGGGGACATCAAGCTCAATTGGCATAACATACTATACAAAACATTGTTCCACCTACTACTTTGGCGAGTAGCGACTGGGACCTTAAAAGCTAGGAAGCTGCCATCTAGATGCAACAACGGGTCTCTCCTCGTCAAGAAGAAAGAAGAAAACCAAAATTAATGGAAACAATCAGTCCTAGCGACTGGTACACCATCCGATCTGCAACCTATACAACTATGAGACCAGAAGAACTAGATGGTGCCCAGCTACCACTGCCATCCACTTGGAAGGGATGTAGGAGATCCTGCATAAAGAGGGAGAACAATGTGGAACAAAACTCAAAATCATTTGGAAGCAAAAAAAAAAAAAAAAAAGAAGGTGGGGACCAGGTTTGCTGGTCCAATAGAGCCTGGTGAAACTACTGAGACTATGGCCCCTAGCTGCCCTTCAGTCTGGAATTGAACCCACAACTGTGGTTTCCAGCCAAACAAAGTACAGGCATGTGAGTTAAACATTTACCTCAAGTAGACACACGCCCTGGAGAGAACAATCATGGGAGAAGGAAGGGCTGCTTATGCACAGGGAGATAGCTCAGGGTGCAGAAGAGTATGAAAGGACAGACACTGGGAGGAGGTAACTATGGGGAGGAAGTGGGAGGGGAGCTGCTGCATTGTAAATTTTGGTCAGTGACATGAGACAAAGTATATGTGAACTGCTGTATGAAAAGTGAATTTACTCTGTAAATCTTCACCCAAATCCTAATTAAAAAAAAAAAAAAAATGAAAAAAAAAAAAAAGATTGACAGCCTTGGAAACCCTGTAGGGGTTGCTATGAGTTGGAATCGACTCAATGGCAGTGGGGTGTGTTTTTTTGTATCTCTTTCAATCTATGCAACAACCCTAGAGGTCCATCACTGGCCCTTACAAATGAGGAAACTCATTGGGCCCACAGCCAAGTGGTAAAGGGAGGCACCAGGATCCAGTCTTCAGGCCTCACAAGCTCACGCTCCTAGGCAGGGCCTCGAACCGGTTCACTGTGGCTCGACCCTCTGCTGAGAATTTGCCCTCCACCCAGATGCACTGGATCAGAACCTACGCTCTTCTACGTAAGAATCTCCCCGGGCCTTGTTAAAACGTAGATTCCAGAGCAGACTGGTCGGAGGAGACCACTGAGTGGATTCTTGGAGATTACCGCCCCGAGCAAACCCTACTTGGACCTGCACACCCTCCTGAGGCCACTTTGCAGCCAAATACAGACCAGATCATAAAATGAACCAGCACCACTCGCGAGGAAGAGCTCCTGAGAACAGTCAGTTCTACAGGTCAAAAGGGCAACGTCTACGCAAAACCAAAGGTGAGACAACAGGGAAGGTCAGGGAGACGGGATGAATGGGACAGGGGCCCAGCGAGGCAACGGGGAGGGTGCCGCCACCCTTCAGGGACTGCACCCCATGTCTAGGGATGATCCGTGTATGAATCACAGATGGGAACTAGTCTGCTGTGCAACTGTGCCCTGAAACGTCAAAGACGCTTTAGAAAAAGAGAGTAGGTTCTGATTCAGTCTATGTGGGGTGGAAAGGGCTGTTCTCAGGGGGGTAGACCAGCATGAACCGGTTTGGAGGCCTGCTCTTCACGCGCACGCTCCACTGGCCGCCCCAGCAGACTCCAGTTGACTGCTGACTGATCCGTGCCTTGGCTCAGTCGTGAGTGACTCAAGCCGAGTCCTGGCTATTTATCTCTGTGTCCCCCACAGTGCTTCGCACACCACCTTACACATGGCAGGCATGCAGTAAACATCCTAGACTCTATTTTCCACACAGCAGTCAGAGCGATCCTTGTAGGAATAAATCAGTCGTCACTCCCCGACTCTCAATCCTTCAGTGGCTCCCACTGTGACTGGGATAAATTCTGCAGCCCTTCCCTGCGCCCCGCTCCGGCCCAGCCTTCGCTCCCACTTCGTTTCCCAGCCCCACTGTTGCTGTCAGGCGCCATCGAGTCAGCTCTGACTCAGACGACCCCGTGTACAACAGCATGAAACACTGCCCTGTCCTCACAGTCGCTGCTGTGTTGGAGCCCATGGTGACAGCCACCGTGTCAACCCATCTTGTGGGGGGTCTTCCTCCTTTGTGCTGACCCTATGGCTCCCTCGCTGGTCCTCAAAACCCCGGCAGGGCCCCATCTTAGGGCCTTTAAGTTTGCTCCTCCCGTGGCTTGGATGTTGCTTCCTCAAGACGAGCACCGTGAGAGCTCCCTCCCTCCTTCTTCCCGATCTTTGTTCAAGTGTCACCTTCTCAGAGTATCACCCGACCACCCTCCTAAGGTAGTGCCCCTCACTCTAACTTCACGGCCCATTTTCTTCTCTTGTCTTGTGCTGTCAAGTTGATTCCGGCTCATGGTGACTCGTGTTCCAGGGTAGAACTGAGGTCGGAAGGGCTTTGGAGACTAATCTGCGGAAGCAGACTACTGGGTCTCTCTCCTGCAGAACCACTGGGGGGTCTGAACTGCCAACCCTGTGGTTACTAGGCTAATGTCAACCCTTTGCATCATCCAAGGACTTTTTCTTCTCTTCATAGTGCTTACTGCTACCTGTTTTGATCAGAAGGTAAGCCCCATGACCTCAGGGCCTTAGTCCTGAGTTATGTATTCCCTGCACCTTAAAAAAGAGCCGGGGTGCACTGTGGGGCTCAGGAAACAGAAGGAATGAGTGACTGACACACTCTCCCTGGCCTTCCTCCATTGCGAAGGAGACTCATTAATGCCTTCAGTCAGCTGCCTGGGCCGTCAGTCATGATGACAATGCCCACTTTGCCAGGGAGCCCTAGTGGCACAGTGGTTACAGTTACAGAAAGATTACAGTTCCACTCACCCATTGGCTTCATGGGACACAGGCCGGGCAGTCTGCTTCTGTGAATTTGCCAGCCCCGGAAGCCCCGTGGGGCAGTTCTCTGCCATCTAGGGCCGCCATGAGTCAGAATCGACTCCACAGCACCTAACGACATACTGTGCCAGGAACCGTGCTGGGCTTTGCGGCTACAGCTGTGAAGGGCAGAGCCCTGTCCCCAAGGGGCTCGTGTCTCCATGGACCAGGCACTGTGTTCACCTCCTTGATAATTTTCCTGAGCGCCAGCGTCTGGGCCCTGGGCCCCTGTGTCCACCATTCTCCCTTCGCCGGCAGGACTGGACTCGTGAGCCAGGGCCCGAAGCCCACAGAGGTGTAGTGTGCACGTCTGCCTATGAAGGTGGATCTAGGTGCCCCAGGAAGCCGCGGAAAGGCCCTGCTGGGCCTGTGTGTGCATGTCTGCACATGCACGGATCTGAGTCGGTGGTCTCTGTGTCCGCCATGCCCTCACACCTGGCTGGACCAGGCCCCAGCAGCCTGTACCCACGTCTGTCCATGCTCAGGGCAGACCTGGCCCATTTGCCCCCTTGTCTCCCTGCAGGAAACTCCACTGGGCCTGTGTATATGTGTGTGCACACGCACGTCTGGGTCCCTCCCCTGCTGGGCGAGCCCCGGCCGTGTCCTGTCTGTGCATGCCCTTGGGGTCTCGCTCCCCAGCAGCATGTGTGTGCCCCCAGCGGCCCCCGGGAGAGCCCGCCCGGCCTCACCTCGAGCTGGAGGTCGCGACTCCTCATCACCGCCATGTTCTTCTCCTCGCTGAGCTGGGCGTAGCGCATAGCCAGGTTGTAGTTGTCGTCCTTGACCTTGACCAGCTCGTCGTTGTAGCCGTCCCGCTCCTCCTTCATCTTGTAGTAGCGCTCCTGGTAGGTCAGCAGCTCCACGCGGGTCAGCGTCAGCTGCTTCTTCTCGTCCTCCAGCTGCCGCGACTTGGCCAGCAGCTCGCAGCGTTGCAGGTCCTTGACCTTCATCTGCTGCTGCAGCTTGATGACCTCGTTCATCAGGAAGTGCGTGAGGCCCTCGTGGCCCTCCTCCACTGCAGGCAGGGGGCACCCAGTCAGGCCCGGGGCCGGGGGGCCAAGGAGGGGAGCAGACGGGGGCAGCTGGCACTTATCTGGGCACCCACGCACCACCACCTTCCTAAGCCGTTACTAGGAACCGGGGGCTCAGGGTGAGCAAAACAGGCTCGGACCAGTAGTCAGAACTTAGGGTTCATTAAGGAAGACAGATCTCGGGACACCTGGCAGAGTGCAGGCTGGGTTCCAGGCTTCCACAAGAGAGAGAGCATCCCAGTGGGCCCTTCAGACTTTTCGGTTTCCCAGTGCATATTAAAGTACGTTGCACTACACAGCAGTCTATTAAGTGTGCCGTAGCATCATGACAGTGTGAAATGTTGGGAGAATGACGGAAACGGACAGAGAAGAGAACTGAGACACGCTGTTGGAAAACAGGCGCCGACAGGCTCGTTCGACGCAGGGTCGCCACAGACTTCCCCTTGGTGAAGTGGAGTAAAGCAGAGAGCAAGGAAACGAGGTCTGCCTGTATTGAGGAAAAGCAAAGGTTCACACCCAAATATAACCACAGATTGCGTGGGCTTCACCCAAAAGAAATCCGGGAGCTGAGAGAGGCAGACAGACACAGAGTGTGTGGACACAAAGAACGTGGCATCGGGAGAACTGGGACCCATGCTGCACCCCTGACTCCGGGAGGCGCAGGGTTTCAGAGGAGACGGGGTAACCGGGAGGGGCATTCTGAACGGCTCCCACGGGAGCCCCAGCAGCGTCCGCTCTGCCAACCCGTGTTTCACGCGTGCGACTCAGGGGGTCTGGGCAGACGAGTGCCCGCTCAGGGGTTGGTGCCATAGGCTCTTCACCCCGTAGACGTGGGACAACTTAGAATCTGGGGCCGTCTGTAGGGCAGCTGTGTGGGTCCACGGAGTGTGCGTGTCTATGCGTGTGTGAGACCAGTCTGGCCCAGTCGGCAGTGTTGAGAGGAGGCGTCGGAGGCTGAACTGAAATGCTACATTGAGGAGGAAAGAGCATTCCAGGAGAGTGGAAGAGCCCGGCCAGCCGCGGGAAGGGAGGCAAGGAACGCGGCCGCTGCAGGGAGCGAAGGCAGGCCTAGTGCCGGGGCCCAGAGGGAGAGGGAAATGCAGGAAGGTGAGGCTGGGGTGTCGACCCCACTCGGGGCTGGAGGGCTGAGCTGTGTGGAGCCCTTGTGTAGCAGCGACGGGAAGCCATGTGCAGGCTGTACGCAGGGGAAGGTACTATGACACAAACAGGGGAAAGACTGGAACAGAGCAAGGTGGCCCCAGGGAGTTGATGGTGGTCTGGGCTGGGGTGACGGTGGAGATGGAGGGAAGACTGGCTTAGGAACAGTTAGGGAGGGGATGAAGAGGTCAGACGGCGGGGGCTCTGACCACGGGGAACAGAGCAGGCAGGGCAGCCACGAGAGCCATGAACCCCCACTTCTCCTGGCTTCCTCTTCACTCTGCCCCTCTGCTGCCTCTGCTCATCATTACCCTGACCCTGACTCGTGGGATCCCAGTAGCCCTTGACCCCTGACCCCGACCCATGGTGACCCTGGTCTCCCCTGACCCTGACCCCCGACCCTGACGACCCCAGCTGTGTCGGAGCAGCACTGGCTGCACAGGGGTCGCAGAGGCTGATTTTTCAGAAACAGATTGCCAGGCCTTTCTTCCGAGGTGCCTCTGGGTGGACTCAGACTACCAACCTTTTGGTGAGCAGTTGAGCGCATTCACTGTTGGCACTGCCCAGGGACTCCTCTTCATCATTAGAGAGGGAGGCACGGTTCACAGCCTCCAAACCCACAAGGCTCCTGTGCTCATGCCCCAGACTGTCCCACCATTGAACACACACACACACACACACGCATGCACTGTCCCACCACTGAACACACACACACACACACACGCATGCACCGTCCCACCACTGAACACACATGCACATGCATGCACACCCCCCCCAGCGGAGTCCCAACATTCCTGGTGGCAAAGCCACTTACCCACAATGGTGGAGAACCGCCGGGTGGGTTCCTTCCCAGTCACCAGTTTGTACAGTTCTGGGTAGTAAAATTCCAGGCTCTCCAAGAAGACCACGTAGCCCCTCTGGCCCTTGGTGTGAAGAATGTCCAACAGCCGGCCTGTAGAAGGCACTCGATGAGAGGAGCCCATGTCTGAGGGACGCAGGTGTCCAGCCCTGTCTCACCCTGGTCTCATGTCCCTCCTGAACTCAGAGAGACAGTCTCATTACACACTGTCACACCTGAGTTGTATCTTGAGTCCCACCAGTTACCAGATACCGTTTAGTCGGCCCCGACCCATGGCGACTCCATGTGGATCAGAGCAGAACCGCTCTCACGGGGTCTCAGGGGCTGACTTTTCAGAAGGAGATCACCAGGCCTTTTTCTCCTTAGACCCCTCTGGGTGGACTCAAACCACCAACCTCTGGGTCAGCAGCCAACTGCTTTCTCATTTGCTCCACCAGGGACGGCATCTTGGAGACCAGATAACATGAACCAGGGTGCCGGGCCCTCAGCAGGGTCTCGGGGAATGCCCGTTTCCTTTCTTTAAGACACCGAGAGAGCCAGGAGAGATGAAGTACAGCCCAGGCAGGCCTCCCGTCTGCGCAGGGCTGAAGTCAACCAAACAGACACCAGCTCCTCCGTGCTTCCAGGAGCTTGGGAGCACAGTCACAATGTTGGAAGGACACATGTTCTCTGGGACTCCAGGCCGAGCCGGAAGCCGTGGTGGGTGGGGAGCTGGGAAGGGTTAACAGGAAGCTGGCATAGCTTTGGGACTGGAACCATATTTCACCTACACCATTCTGCTCAGCAGTTTCTCTCCCACTGACTGCATTTATCACTCGCATCTCTTGGCCCTTCCTTAGAAGTTCTGCTCTCAGATATTTCTTCCCTGGAGATCCTAAAACTCTACCCTTTGCCCAGGACAGGCATAATAAATACGTTTCATTTCGTCTCCTTTCTGGCTGGTGAAGCTGGCTGAAGCACGGGGCTGGGAGGGATGTCAAAGTCCCACCCAGGCTCACGGAAAGGCACGCCACGATTAATTCGTGACGTCTGCCAGGGGGGCAAAGGAGGGGAGTGTCATACGTGTCATTTCTTATCAGCCACATGGTGGGGCAGGGTTCACACACCTGCAAGACTGTGATCCGCAGGGAGAAATAATTTTTACGCTGTGACCCAGTTCCCACAGAGACAGATACACCCATGTATGTCTATGTCCCCACAAACATACATACACATGTGTGTATGAAACCAGTGTGGTCGAGTCGACTCTGACTTAGGGCCACCCCATGTGGATCGGGGCAGAACTGTAGTCGTTAGGGTTGATAATGGCTGACTTCTCAGAAGGAGATAACCTGGCTTTTTTTGTGAGGCACCCCTGGGGGGACTCAAGCTGCCAACCTTTTAGTGAACAGTCAAGCATGTCAACCACTCAACTGACCCAAAGACTCCACATACACATATGTATACATGTGTGTGCATAAAATCAAAACAAACCATACTTATTACTCTACTGAATACAATAAAGAGCGCCATGGACCACCTTGGCAGCCGGGAAAGCCTAAAGACCCCTTCTCAGAATAGTTTTAAATAGGTATAATAATATACATTGTGTTAAAAGGAAATCAGTTATCATAACTTACTGTTATCAAATATTAAATTTGTGATTCAATAATAAATGTAGTTCTTCATTAACATTAAATAACAAGGCCTTGGCACATCTAACAAGGACTGTAATTTTAAGGGCATTATTGTTGTGGTCCGTCAAGTCTACTTGGACTCACGGTGATCCTATGTGACAGAGTAGAAGTGCCCCATAGGGCTTCCTAGATTGGAATCTTTATGGGAGCAAATCACTAGGCTTTTCTTCCATGGAGCTGCTGGGTGGGTCTGAACCACCAACCAGGGCTTGGAACTGGTTCAGTCATGGCTGACAAAGCAAAACCAGGATGGACCAGAATTGCCAAATGCGGGTGCCTGGAATGGGAGACTCGGAAGGGGTGCAGTGAGCCCTTTCAGGAGTACGACACAGGAGAATGGATTAACGCTGGACTGTGAAGAGCAACACACAATCAAAGCTACCGCCTTTGAGCTGGGCACCATTGTTTCTGACTCTGTCAGTCAAGAGATTTGGTTGCTATGCAACACACACACCATGCATGCTGCCTTTATTTTCTAAGAGGGAGATTAGGTTCTTGCAAGGTGTGGACTCCTATTTTCCCTGTTCTGGTTACTGTTCCAGGTACCCACATTTTGTAAATTCCAGTCCATCCTGGTTTCACTGTGTTGGCCATGACTGAATCGGGAAGAAGTGGTTCAAAGCCCTGACACCAACCTTTCATGTAGTAGCCAAGCAGTTATGCAGGGCTCCTTCTGAGGGAGAGATGAGTGGACATGGCACTTTGAGAGACTTGCAGCAGTCATACAACTGAACGTCGCTGTAGTTTTCATTGCTAACAAAGTCACAGGTATTGCCAGTAGGACTGGGACTTGTTGCCACTTACACTTGTCACTGAGGGGGATGCTGAGATTCAGCTTGTGGTGGTGGTTGTTGGGTGCTGTCAGTCAATTTCGACTCACAGCGACCCCATGTGACAGAGTGGAACTTCCCTGCAGGGTGTTCATGGCTGTCACCTTTATAGGAGCAGATCACCAGGTCTTTCTCTCATGGAACTACTGTGATTTTGAATTGCCAACCTTCTAGCTAGCAGCTGATAGCTTAACCGTTGGGCCACAAAGGCTCCTTAGTTTCAGCTTAGGTTAGCAAAATAAAGATGGAATTTTCCCTCATCCAAGTTCATGGGCTCCTTTGAGTTCTATTCATGGATCGCTGAGTTAGGGGATGGGGGTGGGCAGAGATCTATGGACATTGACGTAGAAATCCCCAACCCAGAAACCTTCCTGTGGCACAGCCAACGGAAAGGTGTCTCCTGACACTCCTCATGACTGGCTCCTCTCCTCACAGAGGCCCTCCTAACATACCTGCCACACGAGCAGCTCCTCCCCCCTGGTGCTCCTGATGTACCTGCCCGGTTGATCTTGGATGGCAGCATGGGTGCACTAAGGACTTCATCCTCGTCCTGCTCGTCGATGACCTTGCACTGGCGCAGGTAGGGCGTGAGCTTGGCTGGGTTGATATAGCGACTCAGCATGTGTCGGTTGCACTCAACGTTCTCCCACAAGGCATCCTCCTCGTCCTTCAGTGTCTCCATGTAGTCGTCCATCTCCGGCCCGCCTCTTTCTGACACAAACCCAACAAGGTTAGTAAAGCAGCTTCACCCCAAGAGCTCCATCAACCCCTCTGGAGGGATCTCTAGAAGACATTGCTAAATTAAAGAAAGGGAGTAGAGACTTTTGGGAGGCGGGGCAAGATGGCGGACTAGGCAGAAGGATTGCACAGACTCTCTTCAACA